GGAAGAAGGCACTCTGAGAAGAGCTGGCAATCAGGGTAGAAGGGTAATGGCCAAAGATCGACTTTCATGTTATAAAGCTCATCACCAAGCCTTCTGGGGAGCAGGGAGGAGGAGGGAAGGAGGAGGAAAGAGCAGGAACCAGGGTGCTCAAAGCCGTGGGTGAATCTGCAGAGCTGTGCAGGGGGCGCAGGTACACAGAGCAGCCGAAATGAGGGCTTCTGAGCCATTCTTGGGGATCACACCCTTTGGGAAGGGGGTGTGTGCAGCAGGGCCTGGCAGAGGTCTCTCCCATCACCCCTCTCCCCACTCCTCTGCCTCTGCATGTCCTCACCAACTCATTCTGCCTTCTCAGCCCTTGGTGCTGCCTGGACAAGGTGAGGGGGAACTGGGACCAAAAGCGAAATTAAACCCAGAGCCTCCTCACGTGCTTCCTGGGAAGGGGAGCCGGCGCCCGGTTCCCATGTGGCTCACTGCTGTCCCCCAAGCGCCTCACATGGCGCCTGGCTCAGAGCGGGCAGTGCTCCGCAAACGGTGCCTGAATGACTATGCGGGAGTGGTGGACAGGATGGCCTCAAAGCACATATCGACAGTTTATTAATCTCCCACCTTCTGATGAGCTAAGAATAATCATAACACAATGATAGCCACTGCCACTTTTTTGAGGGCTTTGCCAAGTGTTCTGTATCCATTAGCCTCTATAATCTTCACAAGGACCTTTGAGGAAGATTCTGTTACTATCTTCAATTTACAGATGTGGAAATTAAGTGCAGAGACGTTAAGTAAGTGTCTGGAAGGCCATGACGGATCTCATGCCTGTGGTCAGCGTTCTTTCTGTTCTGCTCACGGCTTCTCACCTCCCCTTACTTTCTTCAGGGTCTGGGGAACAGGCTGCCTGTGGGCTGGGGGAGCTGAGGTCTCCCAACACGGTGGGGCGCACAACCCCCGACCCTCCTGTGGGTACACAGCATGTATACACGGTGCCCTGTGGTCTGGGGGCCGCAGACCTCAGGACCTCAGTGCCCAAGAATTGGCCCCAATGCCTGTTAGGCCGCTGGACTGCAGGTCACATCTCGCCCCCCTGGTCCCTCCCCAGCTCTCCCCCAGATCTTGAGTTACCCACAAGCCCTGGCCGCAGACAGAGAGCCGGTTCAAAGAGAGCCTTCTGAGAAAGATGATACTGCAGCAGCAAACCCAGCCTGAGGAACCAGCCCTGAGGCCACAGCTGTTCAACCAGTCAAACTGGAAAAGCCACCATCCACAGCCTCCCAAAGCCCAGAGGGGGGCCTTTAAGACAAAAAGGTCCTGAGACCAGGTGTTAGGTCTACTTAGGGAAGACCAAGGAATAGAAGGAGAAAGCCAACTTGTGGGCAGGCCCTATGGCTCGTGACTGGCTGCAGTGTGGCCACCAAGCAGAAAGGAAACCAAAGGTCCCTGCATGTAGATGTCCACTAGGATGGGACGTTGTCTCCTGCCGGGCAGGCAGCCTAGGCCCCATGAGGCCCTCTCAGAAGTTGCCAGGTTGATCCATTCGAACCCCTGCCCACTTCTGGAGGGAAAAGAAGAGGTGACGTGTGGAGTTCGGTGTTGGTGCCACAGGAAGGGGAGGGATGGAAGAGAGGGGACGAGCTGAGAGGCTCTGCTGCACCCAGATACTACCACTGGTCTCTCCTGACCGGTCTCCCTGCCTCAAGGCCCAACCCCACCCACAGCCAATACCCTAAGTGCCATCTTCACCCAGTCATCCCCCACTCAGAAACCCTTGATGCCACCTTGAAGGCTGAGTTCCGCCTCCTCAGCCAGGCCCTCAATGCCCGCCCCCTCATTCATTCCTTAGTTTAACATTTATGGAGGGCGTGCCTGGCCCTGTCCTAAGACTATGAAAACAAAGAGGAAGAAGATTTGGTTTCACCCTCAAGGCACTTAAAGTACGGTCTGGGAGACAGAGAGATAAACCAAGGACTGTTCTCCCTCTTCCCCTAGAAACTCCCTTCTGTTCCAGCCAGACTGCCCAGCGTTCCCCAACACCCACTGAATTCCCACCTTTGTCGTCTCTGCTCCTGTTACTCCATCTGCTCCTTCCCCTGCAGCCCACACTGCGAGGCCTGGCTTCAGCCTTCCCTCCTCCAGAGCCTTCCTGCCACTCCCTGGCCACAGGGCCCCTCTCCTTCTGTGACCTCCTCCATCTAGCGCTCCGTGTGGCGCCAGCGCTCACGGACCCTCGCTGTTCATGGGCTGCTGCAGGCGCGGCTACCATCGTAATTTAGCTGCTGACACCAGATGTAATACCTTCATTCCTAGTAACGATAATGATCATCATCGATCCCCTATGTCTGAAGAGTGCTCTCCAAGTGCTCACCGTTAGATTCTCTTATGGTAGCCAAGGCTCTTTTTTGCCTGTCTGTGTTGCTTCCCCCACTAGATCACAGGCTTCTGTGGGCAGGAAAAGGTGGACTGCAGTCTGTCTCCAACATGCCTGGCACGGTACTTTGTAGTGAATGCTGAATTAACTGGTTTAACAGGTGGGAAAATAGCAGAGAACATTACAGCACTGACTGCCCGCCTCTGCCTGGGCCCCCTTCCGGGTCAGCACACCTGCATGGAAAAGAAATGCTGGTGGCACAGACCCAGCTCAGGGCCACCTGCCCACCTGCTGACTGAAAGAAGAGGGCTGGTCAATGCCTCTGCCTACCTGGGAGGTCTCCTCACCACCCGCTGCAGGCCGTCCTCTGGAATGTCACAGGCTTTTACAGTAAGTGGCCTAAACAGTGAATCATCGACATGATCCAAGAATCTGAGCTCTGTTTTGGCAGTAACTGCCCTGCTTTCTCCATTCACAGAAGTAGCTCCAGGAAAGGCGCTGAGACCAATGTCCAGGATGGTAAAAGAGTACATCTTAGACAAGAAGCAGCTTGGGAGAGGTCACCACGTGTTTTATTCACCTATTACCTTCAGGTTGCAGCACCAAGCTCAGCTGCAGGACATACACATTTTTTTTTTGGAATGGATAAATTAATGAATATGACTTGGTAGTACACATTTTCTTGGCTCCTTGATTTGTCTCCTGGATGCCCCTTTCACCTCCATGGGAAACTTTCTGTATCACAGAAGGGAAAGCTTTTCTTGACCATCCAACTCTTTTCCTAAATGTTAAAGTTGAAGAACACGCCCAAGACAAGGCAGAATCACGAGTGCCGCAGGAAGCTTTAAACAAGAAAGCATTTAAGAAACCCAGGGGACAGATTTTAAAAGGCTGGTGTGAAGAAAGGCAGGTTTCTTTCTCTTTCATGGAATCCAAAGTCCTAAACAGTCCAGTTTCCTGGGGAAAGGTGGACCCAGCCATCAGCGCAGAGAAAGTACCAACCTCCTGCCCTTTGTTCCCAAGCCTGCCACCTGTCCTCATATCCCATCTGGTCCCTCAGCCACTCCCAGGTGTTTCCCCAACATCTCCTCTTCCCTGAGACTTCCCCAGAGGGGACCTCCCTTGGACTCCAGAGCCTTCCCATCCCTCTGAGATGTCACTCATTCAAACGGTGGCCCAGCCCAGGTTCCCACACCTCCTAGGAGCTAGCCTTACAGCTCCCCTGAGGAAGATGAATGCATGTTTCCTGACCCTGAATCCCTTAAAGATAGTGAAGTAAAGAGAGAATGAGGTCCTAGGAACGCGATGATGATGACAACAGTAATAACAGGCAGCTTGAATCCAGCTTCACCATGTGTCTGGTTTTGTGCTCAGTGCTTTTACAAACATTACCTTGTTTAATCCTTACGACACCTTGGGAGGCAGGAACTGTATTATTCCAATTCTACAGATAAGAAACTAAAGCTCAGAAGCTTAAGTGATGTTCAAGGTCACACTGCCTCAAAGTGAGGTTTCCAAGTCTGCCTGACAACAAAGACTGCCTCTTAACCACGAGGCTCTGTTCTTCCTGGCTCTACCTGTCCCCTCTTCTCTCCCGGCAAGGAGTGAGAGTGGTGAGAGAGGGCGGAAGTCTCAAGTGGAAGCCGTTTCTGAGGGGAGAGGGGACCTGGGCAGGACCTGGGCAGTGCTGAGGCCACTTAAGGGCATCAATCAGGGAACCTGCTAGATGTGGGTGCGATGCCCTCAACTCAGACCTCTCAGAGGAGGAGGCCACTCAGGGGCCAAGAGGGAAAGAGCTTCTCAGAGGGGAGGCCACCCACTCCCTCTCAGAACAAGTGACCCCATAACCGTCCTTTCCGGGATGTCACCAGGCCTTGTCCCTCTGAGCACAGGCTCCAGCACTGCCAGATGGAAGAGATGTATTCTAAGGTGGGTCCTGCCTGCCTTCTGACCCGCTGGCCTGGTAAATAATCCTCCTGGTCCTCATCCTCCTCAGCCTCCTTCAAAACAAATGCTTCAGCTGACTGCATTTCTGGAGCTGGTGAGTAAGTGCCCCTTCACCTGCACATTGGTTCTCACCTAATCTATGCCCTCCTCCAGGTGGCCCACCTTGTGACTTACCTTCACAACTGTGCCCTATCAACTCAATCCCTTTGGCCCCTCCCTTCCTCCTCTCTTTCCCCTCCACATTGGGTCACCCCTGATCTGAGGGTACCCAGTGACTCAGTGACTTGGCTCCCCACCCTGAACCCCTCTCCATGAGCACGAGCTTTCCTTCCCCCCACCCCCGCACCTGGGGGTGTGGGGATGTTATATCCGTGGCTACGATTCTTACTGCCCCAGCCTGGGATACCCACAGGCCTACACCACCCCGTTCTCTTGGCTTCTATGGGAAGGCTTCCCTTCGCAAGGCCCGAGCGCCCACCCTAGTCACGGACAACAGCAGGGAGACTGTCACCTCCAGGAGCACAGGCTTAAGTCACCCGCCGGTGGTCCCTCGCCCCAGGATTTACCCCTCGCCCTCGCCTCTGGCTCTACCGCCTCTAGGCTGAGGCTCCCGGGCGGGGGAAGGGGTAGGGGCCGCCCCGACAGGTGGCGGCGGCGGAGAGGGTGGGGCGCCCCCTCGGCCACCGCCCCTTACCGATGGTGGAGATGTGCGAGGAGTGGAACTCGTTGTCGGTGAAGCGGCACAGCAGGCAGGTCTTGCCCACCCCGGAGTCCCCGATCAGCAGCAGCCGGAACAGCACATCGTACTGCTTCGCC